TTGATTTTTACAAAGCTCATCGTTCTGGAAAGCGAGGTGTGCTGTGATTGGCCAGCTGTCCAGTGCGTTGTGATTGGCCGAATTCCTCAAGCGTATGACGGAAATGTTACGCCCCATACCATACTGTGATGCCGTGTCTCGGCGCGACGAGACAAAAATAATAAAACGCATTGTAAACGAGGCATTTGTTGCATCCAGTGGGGACATAATTACTGATTATAATGACTTATACTGTTTTTTTACGCGTTGCGTTGCATCGCGCCGCATAAACGTAAAACCATGTCTGCATTTGTGATCGGAGAAATGACAAACTACAAACGCTACTCTACACTGCTCAAAACTTGCGTTTGAATCGTCAGTGGCAAATCCTTTAAATATGAAAATGTACTTACAGGCTGTGAGTCAGCATTATTTGTCAGAACACGGGCATTGTAGGCTACTCTCCCAGGAAACAGTCCTCGTCCTCCGTAAAATGCGTTGCACACATCTGAATATTTGGGTTGATCTGTTCTGGAACAGTGTTGTAAATACAACTTAACCACTGATTTCTAGTTGTGTCCTCTTTTGGAAGACCAAACAAAGTAGTTTCGCTTTCGCAATGAAACACACAGCGTCTCCACAACATGGCAGTAGCAGCAACAATAAAGTTATGCCTTCTTTCTTTGCGTGAACATTTGGGCAGCGTTATGCAAATCTTCCCACACAGTGACGTAGACATGTGGAGGCATGTCTAAACGAGGTGTTTTAGGGGGGCGTGGATTAACTTTTATAAAGAATATCTCTTTGGGTTTGAGACTTTAGTCTTCGCAACTTTAGGGATCTTATCTATTCACGAACAGCTTGTAACACTCCAAAGAGAAAGGAAAACTTGAAATCGCATCATATGACCCCTTTAAAGAAATTAATACTTTTATTGTTCAAAAGTGTCAATAAACACATTTAGAATGTTACAAAGGATTTCTATTTCAAATAAATGCTGTTCTTTTCAACAATTAAAGAATCCTGAAAAAAATGACCACAGTTTCCTAAAAAATATTAAGTAACACAACTGTTTTCAATATTTATAATGATAATAAATGTCTGTTGAGCAGCCAATCAGGATTAAAGAATGATTTCTAAAGGATCATGTGACACTGAAGACTGGAATAATGATGCTGAGAATTTAGCTTTCCCATCACAGTATATATAAATTGTAATAAAGGAATATATATATATATATATATTGAAAAAATATTTCACAATGTTTTTACTGTATTTTTGATTAAATAAATGCAGCGTAAGAGATACAAAATGAATTAGAAATTAAACAAGTATATCATTTCAGTTTATTGCTGCCCCTTTATTTTAGGAGTTCATTTCAAGAGTTGTTCAGAAGAGGCCTGACTACTGGATAGGTCTCAAGAGGGACAAAATGGGCCAGTGGTTC